GGTCAGGGGAGCCCGCGACGTCGACCTCGCCGCAGACGAAGCGGAATCCTTCGTGCGCGGTGCGGATGTGGACGGTGAGGTTGTGCTTCTTGGTGAACTTCTTGTCGCAGCCCTCCCACGTGCAGGCGACCGTCTTGCGGGCGTCGACGGGGATGCCCGAGTGGCGCATCTCGACGTGTCTCTCCAGCTCCCACTGCCCGGTGCACTTGTACTCGCAGAAGATGCAATTAAGGTGTTCCTTGCGGATGTGTGCCTGGAGCAGCGAGATGGACGTGAAGCCGACCTTGGTCTCGCCGTCGCCGCCGCCGCACTCTTCGCACCAGAACTGCGGTTCGCTGTGGTCGCGCTTGGTATGGTTCCGGAGAGCCCCCTGGGAGTCGAAGCCGGCGCCGCAGCCGGGTGCCGTGCATGGGTAAGCGTGCGTACCCAAGTGTTCCGAGCGGATGTGTCGCTGGAGGGTGTTGTGCTTGCGGAAGCTCTGGGCGCACGGCGGGAAGTCGCGGCACCGGAAGCGCTCCTGGCCGGCGTGGACGTCCTGGTGACGGCGCAGTCTCGTCGCCGTCAGGAAGGACTTGCCGCAGTCTTCGTGGGTGCAGACGTAGGCCCGCTCCTGGGTGTGGGAGCCCTTGACGTGCTGGCGGAGGTGCTTCTCCTCGCGGTAGTCTTTATCGCAGCCGGGGTAGGTGCACTTGAAAGGTCGGTCGTCCGTGTGGGAACGGAGGTGGGCGGCCAGACGGGCGGGCCGATTGAAGGTCTTGTCGCAGTCTGGATATGTGCATGGGATAGTCTTGAGGTCTGAGGGGAATTTGCGGGATCGAGTGGTGACCGAGGTCTGGCCTGTCATAACAGACTCTACCTCGGCGTCGGCGGTCGAGCCGGAGTTGCTGGCTGTATCATCGTAGTCGTCGTCGCTGGCAACTTTCCCTCCCATCGTGTTAGCCAAATCGCACCAGTTGTAGTTCGAAAGCGGGCTCACCAACCGGTGTCTTCCAGCGCCGCTACTTTGGATCTTTTCAGATCCGGGGAGGCGGAAGCCTCTTGGACCTTCCGTTTCGTCATGAGGAGCGATTGTGATCGAGCATTGCCTGCCTTTGCCTTGGCGATGAGAAAAAGAGCCTCGATTGCCAAAGTTTTCGAGAGCCGGTGAACTTATTTCCTGGCAGAATTGGCGGATTCCCGGGCGGTCTGGCGAAATTTTGTGCGCTGCACCAGCCACGGGACGAGGGGCCGGGGTCGACTCGGTCCGGATAAGCTTTTTCCTCTTGCTGATAAGACTAGTGCGGACCCACCAGGGGGAACGCTGTCCATCGCAGCAGCCTCGTCAATATTTTTTCACGGCTGGATCCAACATACGCTCCGCTTGCGACAACCCAACAACACGCGACGAACGTAGGAACCAGGACGCAGCAACGAATCACATCATTCCGGAAGTCATCAACTCCATCAATTGAAACCTCAAGATGTCTGACTTTGGCGATGACGATGTTGGCGGAGGGTAAGAATACGTGTATGCACTTGCGTCTGCGGCGCGACTGCTAACTACGATTCAGCGACGAGACCATGTACGAGGACGAGGCCGCCGACTACTGGGATCCTGAGGTTCCTGCGGACGACGAGGAAGTCGGAAGGGCAGAGGGCGACGAGGAGGACGCGGACAATGTCGTTGCATCGGGCGACCCCTCTGCGGCAGCGAACGCGGGCAAGGGCAACGAGAAGTCGCACCGCGACAAGAAGATTCCCGAGGACCAGCGCACGACGACTCCCTACATGACAAAGTACGAGCGCGCCCGCATCCTGGGCACCCGCGCCCTGCAGATCAGGTTCGTCAAACCCGCAATGCCACCAAAAGCAAATACCCCGCGATGTAGTCGCGATGCACGAAGACAGAAACAAGCTAATGCATGGGATTAGTATGAATGCGCCGGTGTTGGTGGACTTGGAAGGAGAGACGGATCCTCTTCAAATCGCGATCAAGGAGCTCCGAGAGAAGAAGATTCCTCTCATTGTGCGCCGCTACATGCCTGACGGATAGTAAGTGCCGGATGACAGACACCTCCCCCGGACTGTCCACGCAAGCTTCGTGGACATCCTGCACTATTATCTTGAACCATGTCCGGCTGACCTTGCGCGCCAATAGCTACGAGGATTGGACCTGCGAGGAGCTTCTCCAGTGAGGGGACTACTGACTTTTTTCTCTCCAAACTTTTCGGGGGGCAAAGAGAGACGCGCGACTAGATGCAAGGCACCTTATACCCATCTCCTATCGTCGTTGCCTCAAGAGTAGTCAAATGTCCGAGCAGAGTTTCCTACCATGGATCTCGTTACCAGCTCGCTTCGTCGTTGAGCCCAGACGCTCGCAGGCAAGCTTGAGAAGAGACGTTCCATCCAAAAACCGTTATAAAAAGAAGACACACCATAGGAGAGTGTGCTGTACTTTGATTTTGCATTGAGCGTGGCGTTTTCTAGGAAAGAAATTGGAATTTTCAGACATCAAAGAACCATCTCAATTGTGAGAGGAAAACCTCAAACCCCAGTTCTCGTACTCTCGTCACTTTCATTTTTCTTTTTTACTACGCTTTTCCGGGCTCGAAAGAGCGGACTGCAGTGATTCATCACAGGATTACGTGGTCCTGCTCAGATCCTCGCTTCGAGTGGCAGCCTGCGGTGTAACCAGTGGGAGAGTGGGAGACGAGCCGATACGCACCTTCCCAACAACGAGAAGCGTCCCCTACCAAACCCCCGCCGAAAATAAGCGAGGTGTCCGGCTTGGCGAGTCAGCGAACCGATCGTCGCTTCCTTCCCGGCCGCGAGCCTCCCGCCTTCCGGAGCGCGACGGGCCACGGACCTCGGCGCCGTGGAGCCGTGGAGCTGTCCCCTTATCGATGAGGATCGGCAACGTCAACGTAAACAACAACGTTTTCCTTCTTCTATGTGAGCTTACACAGCCCCGTTCACCCCAGGTCCCACCTTTCGTCCGATATCTCACAACTTAACCTACAAGGTTGTTTCTGTTTTCCTTACCTCTCCACCGCCCCCATGTACCTCCTTTCTTCTTTCAACTTAGGCTTGCCGGGGTGGCATGAAGAAGGTTATGGGCGACGACTTGGCCTGCACTTGAGGCTGAGGCTGGCGGGCAAGCTGGAGGAGGGGCGATAGAAGACCGAAAGGGAAAAGCTTAGCCAAGACCATACCTAAACGACGTCCTGGATCTCATCTTCATTGGCTAAGACGCTTGTCAAAGGGTAATTGACGCCGAGCAGCTTACCTACTGATCCAAGCTTCTGGCAATCGTGGTTCGATCCGCGGTCCAAATATGTCTACCATACTAGTTCACACTCTATATCGCTCTCAACGAATACACAAACAGCCTTTCAATCGCCTCTTTCTTGGCATGAAGGATATCTGAATAACGCAACGGATCGAGCCGGCCGCAACTACTAAGACGTCCAGCATCATCCATTTTCCCATACTTTGGTTGTGAACAGAGAGCGAAAACGAAGGAGGGGGACAAGAACCGAAGACGCTTGCTGACACGGCGGTCTTCTCTCCTTTGCAGCCTTCCATTCCCTTCTGCATATCCCACATCAATTTCCCATCGCCTTGGCTCGGACCTCCTCCGCCTCGCTCGGCCGACCACGTCTTCCATGTCCACCGTCCACGAAGCATGCGGGTTATCGTCTCTGCTTCACAGCCTTCACTCCTACTCTGGCCCCCCTCCCTCCCCCGCCTGGTCTCTCGAATCACGCCGTCCATCACGGGCTTCTCCCATCACCCGGAAGACTAGAACCACCACCATCCCGCCCACACCATACCTCACCTCCCGAACGCGAGACCGCGGCTGTCCGGCTTGGCCCTCACCCAACCGGCGGGCTCCTCACATACTTCTCTTGGCTCCGCTTCACTTCCAACACTACTCCGCGCTTCCTAACCACAGCTCTTGGCTTTTTCCCGTCTTTACCCTCCTTTTCCTACGAACCTGTACAGCTGTACACGTATACTCACAGCCATGAAAGCGTCGTCATGTCTGTCTATTTTGCTCACCTTCACCCCCTTGTATGTCGTGATCCCTGTGGGTTTGTATCCCGACTAGCCGGGTAGCTTTGCAGCTGCTTGTGCTTATCACCCTCTCTGAAAGAGGAGGAAGACGAAGGGTAGCAAGACGGGCAAATGAAGCTTCGAACGGGTTGATCATCGCCGAGCCCATGGCTCGACATGTATACTTTTTCTCTTGGCAAGATACTGTGGGCTTCCAACTCAGTATAAAGAGTAGAGTCAGTGACCACCCTTTCGACGAGAGGAAGATAGCTGGATAAGCAAGACATCTCAGTCCACAGCCCGGCTTCCTTCTCCCCCATACCCTTTTCGGTATATTCTCTTAGCAGTAGAGAGCCATTCCAAGCCGGGACACGCTCGCTTCTTTTCTAGAACGCCCCTTTTCGCTTGAGTCAACTATCCTTTTCTGGGTCTCACAATGGTCCCTCAAGCATCCGTTCTCGCGACCGTCTTGCCGGCGCTGACTCTGCTGCTCCCAGGCGGCGTCTCAGGCCTTGTGGTGGCGCCCAGAGCGACGAATTACACCCAAGAAGCCATCGACTCGGGCGCCGTGCTGTCTGATCTCAACAAGCAGGCTTACAGCAACGTCCTCGCTCGTCTCGGGAATGCGACTGCGGCCGGTCAGAACGGAACCGCGCAGTGCACAAAAGACAATGTCAGAGTCCGTCGCGAGTGGTGAGTCTTTTGATCCCATTATTTTCGGTCTGATTTTTTCATGGCCCAGCCTTGGGGAAAGAGGCAAGAGGATGGACCAGACCATTTGGTAGGGGAAGTAACTTGTGGACTGACATTGACTGTGCGTTGCTTTACAGGAGAAACATGCCGGATGAAGAGCGCATTAGGTACACTGATGCTGTGACCTGCCTCCAGCAGCAGCCAGAGTTATACACCGAGATTGCTGGCTCCAAGTCAATGTTTGATGACTTTGTGGCCTTGCACCAGGCGGCGACGCTTTATGTCCACCTGACGGTAGGTCATTGATCCAGACAAAGTAGTTTCTTGTATGTCTAGGAGAAACCCCCGCTAATAAGAGTGCTCATCTCAGGCAACGTTCTTCCTCTGGCACCGATACTACATCTGGACATACGAGAGCAAGCTGGAGTCAGAGTGCGGCTACAACGGTACGCTCATCGCCTTTGAGACACATTCAAACACCAAAGTGAGAGAAGCACGACTAACACTACGCCAGGATCCTTCCCCTACTGGGAATGGGGCTTTGACACGGCCAACCTCTCCGCGAGCCCCGTCTTCGACGGCTCCGCAAGCTCAATGGGCAGCGACGGCGTCCCGACCCCTCACCAAGGGCTCGTTCTCGTCAACGCGTGGGATAACACCACAACAGTACTCCCCGCCGGCACAGGCGGCGGCTGCCTGGCTTCGACATCGGCGCCCTTTGCCAACCAGACGGTCCACCTCGGCCCGCAGGCCATGCCGGACTATGGCAACGTCACCTCCTACAACTCGGCCACGCCCACCGACGACAACCCGCGCTGCCTGCGTCGCGACCTCAACGTCTATCCGCTCCAGCGCTGGGCCAGCCTCCGCAACACGACGGATCTGGTCCATGACGCCGAGGACATTGAGAGGTTCCAGGCGGTCGCTCAGGGGGACTCGCGGTACGTCGGGACGGGCCAGCTGGGTGTCCACGGGGGCGGACACTATGCGCTAGGAGGGGACCCTTCGAGCGACGTCTATCTCAGCCCCGGTGATCCCGTGTTCTACCTTCATCACGCTCAGATGGACCGTCTCTACTGGATCTGGCAGAACTTGGACTGGCAGAATCGTCAGGTAAGTTATCAAACCTCAGTCTCTGCTTTCACTTCCTTGCTTTCCGCTCATCTTCCTTTCCTTACTTTGTGATGAACAACAAGCGAGACACTAACTTCAGCCATAGACCATCTTCGGTACCAACACCACCATGAACCAGCCAGCTAGCGCCAATGCGACGCTCGACGATCTGATGTACATGGGACCTCTGGGCGCCGAACTGTCCCTTCGCGATGCCATGGATACCGTAAACGGCCCCTTCTGCTACGTATACGCATCGGACTGAGGAAAAGGCTCTACGCGAGGTTGGCTTTGGAAGGCATCGAGTCGGTTTGTGTTGACAAGTCGCGATATGGCATCATCTCATTTTCTCATAGTAGCGGCGCATGTATGTAAGATAGACAAAGATAATAGAGAAGAGACTATTGATCATCGTTGTCTTGCATCAGGTGAGTGACAAGTGAATTTGTCAAATTGTAGAAGCGGTGATGGGTGGCTTGATGGGACAAATGAGAAGGAACGACGTTTCGGATTGTTGTAGCAGTTGCAAACCACTGCCTGCCTCCGAGGGACTTGCCTCTAAAGACACACAGTTCCTGATGTACTCTCAGGCTGCCAGGGCATTTTCTCTCTAGACTTCTCTGTAGACTTGAATGCCGACGTCCATTCATTACCGCAACAGGAATTATTTGTAACCGTCCCAGATCAGGACATCCTCCCGAGAAATGGCATCAACGGCGCCGACGTCGTTCACTTGTACTTTTTGCTACCAGCCCTCGGACGGCCCTTCACACATCATCGGCCGGGAAGCCCGCCTGAGCTGCTCCCCCTGCTACGCCGCGCTGATCGACCTGGCCATCTGCTGGGTCTGCGGCGAGATCGTCTACCGCGGGGACGACTGCGTCAGCTTGGGGTAGTGCTTCTGGCATCGCGCGTGTTACGGGTGTATGTTTTATGGGAGCAAGCTCATCTACCGAGGGGTGTCTGTACTGGACCTCTTTGACGAGAGTCGCGATGCCGGTATCGATGGAAGGAGCATGGCCGGCAGGGTTGCTGGGACGGAGGGCAAGGGGAACATGAAAGAGGTGGACGTGGTGCCGCTTTGTGCTGCGTGTTGTGTTGGTACGGAGGGGGAGGATGTAGTGCACAAGGGGTTGAGGAGGGTTGAAAGGGCTGATGGTGGGCTTGGTCGTGCGAGATGGGGTGCTGGTGAGAGCAGAGTTGGGCAGTTGAGGAGGGCCCCGGCGGTAAGTTGTTCGAAGTATGATGAAGGAGTCGATGCTAACTTCACGCCAGTCTATTAGGTCTCTCAGCCCAGACTCGTCATCATTCCGCAGAATAGGAGACGGATCCCACGATGAGAGTAGAGGGTATCTGGCAACACCACCTGGAGACTCTACGATATACGTCTCCATCAACGATCCCATCGGCCAACCTGCCTTCAAGCCAAGTCCGACGAAGCCTATACCGGTATGGATGCAGCCATTTCGGGGCCTTGAGCAAGTGGTCAGTGAAGAGCAGAAAGAAATTCATGCGTCTCACCCACTATCTGGCCTCTCACAGACCCCAGCGACGTCCATCTCCGGGACCCCTTCACTGGGGTCATCGAATTCACTTACACCGACCATCAGACCAACTACGCCGGTCCGCGCCACCTCCCCGCCACAAACGCCGCCTAGGTCTCGTTCGATCTGGACGCCGGCAGAGATCCGTCGGGCACCGCCTCTCTCGTGGGTCAGCAACGAGCCCCTCAAACGGCCGTCCTCTCGATTTGCGTCTCGCCTCGAGAAGTCGGACACAACGACGTCGTCAGGTTATGTCACTCCACCAGAGACACCCTCCGAGCAGCAGACACGGTACAACACCCCACCGCCGCCGCCCCCGCAGCTACGGCGCGTGCGGCCTCAGAGTCCACTGGTCCCTGCTCGAGTCTCACGGCATCACGCTGTGCGTCGAACGCCTCCACCCCAGTCGTCCGAGTACCTGGAGCGGTACAACCCCATCCGGTCCCCGTCACCGCGACCACGGATCACACGGCCAGTCATGTCAGCATTCAGTCCACCCAGTCGTGCCAGGACTAGCTTGACGGTGTCGAAGAACACAGCTCATGCGACTGAGGATGATGGTAGTAGCCCGACTCCGGACCCGAACCAGAGCATGAAGGGGCTTCTCTCGGATGGGGCCGACTCGCCTGGCGAAGCAGGGAAGAAGAGGAACTTGCAGGCTTTACGGAAGCTGTTCAGCGGTAAGTGAGGAAAGTGGCGGAGCAAACATGCCGAACCCCCAGAAATGAATTAGCACTTGGGCAAGTATCCTTTACCACTAGTGATAGTGCGGAATGCGGGAAACATTCGAGAATAGAATGAATGTATCTTCAGCAGTAGAAACTTCAATGCTAGTCTCACAACGTGGTGGGTTCTTCCCGGAGCATTGATAGCATGGTAAGATCAAGAAGCATAAGTAGGCCAACTGGCTGATCCATCATCCCTCTAATATTTATGTAGAGGGGTCGCTAGACTGAAAAGCTCCTTCACAAATAAAGACCGGGGTCGCGACATAACGGCCTTGTTCGCGCCAGGGACCCCGTCTGCGGTCACACTTGACATCCCTGCAAGCGCCCCCTCACTCACCCACAAAGTGTGTGCCACCGGCCCATCCCGCCAACTGGCTAGCACCAATTCCATCCATCCATCCATCCGTCAATCAATCCGGTCCAAACGAAACCTCGACCTTGATTACTTTCCACTACATCCCGCGAATTTCTCAGCCTCGTTTCTCACAGCGCAACCTCACTTCCACCCACCACAACCACCTTCAACCGTTTCTCGACCGAGCTTCTCCTCCCATCCGCGTCGCATTGCTACCCTCCACCTAAAGACGACGACTACACATAGTATAGCCGCAGCTAGACATCGCGAAAAACCAGCATCGAAAATGGCACCGCTAGACAAACCAACCCCCGAAGAGCTGGAACGTACGTATCACGCGCGTCGCACGCCTCCCCCCCGAACACAAACCGTACACTAACACACACCTCAAAAATAGAGCAACTCAAAGACACAATCCAAGACCTCTACCAAATCCTAGTCCAAGTAACAACCTACAACGCAACCCCCTCAGCGCCCACCGCCCCGGCCCTCGCAGACTCGGTCCAAGCCCTCTCGCACTCCCTCCAGCGCGTCCACATGACCGCGACCGCAGGCGCCCCGCCCTCTCCCGACCTCCCCGGCGCGCTTCCCAAGATCCCGCCCGAGCTGGTGCAGTACGTCGAGAACGGGCGGAACCCGGATATCTACACGCGCGAGTTCGTGGAGCTTGTCAGGCGCGGGAATCAGCTCATGAAGGGGAAAATGAATGCGTTTGCGCAGTTTCGAGATGTGCTTGCGGATCATGTCGAGAGGGGCATGCCGGAGTTGAGGGAGGATGTTGGGCGGGTGCTGGAGGGGGGGAAGGTTGTTGGGAGTGGGAAGCCTGGTGGGCTGTGAGAGGTGCGGTTTTTGGGGGGAGTCTGGTTTGTGAGCCTCGGGAGAGGTTTTGAGAGCATCGGGATACGAGGTCTTGAGGGAACCGGGCAGATGAGACAAGCGCAAGTTGGTAGATGTAAAAGGGCCAAAATTGGATGCCCAGTGGTAAGGAAGGCGCATGGAGTTTGATACCCAGAGACAGACAGAGTCGTGTGGATAGCACATCACACAGAAGAATCATAATGAACAGTTCACGGAGTTATTGGCGATGAAATCAAGCTTGTGCTAGTACGTCTTTCCCACGCGACATCTGCAGAGTTCAATTACCAGTTGGTCAACTATGCCTAACTTCGAGCGCAAAAAACCACGACAAAATTTTGTAGGGGCATCATCACTCGTATGCCCCCTTCAATGAGATATGCAAGACGCCTTCCATCCTATCCTTTCCCCCAGGTTCGGTCATGAGATTCGGGTTGGTTTCTGGGGATATTCTTTGGTCGTGAACTCTTCTTCTCTCTTCTCAGTTCCTCTTCCCCTCTCTCCCTAGTATGTCTCTACAAAAAGGGGTTGTAAAGGTGTGAAAAGGAAAACAAAAGTGTGGTAAAGAGAAACGAAAAAAGGGACGGTTTGGATCGATCGATGCCTGGGTAAAAAACGCCGCCCGTGACACTTTTTCTGTGCGTTTGTAGTCTATCCGGATCTGCAGTCGAACAAAAAAGACAACACAAAAACTCATTCCCCGCCGCGGAGCCGTATGCCCAGCTTCCGGGCCCCTATGATGCAAATGTACACGAATCCCATAGCTGCCGCTACCAGCAACAGGAGCTGGAATGGGACCAGGACCAGGGCGGCCACGATCCAGATTCCATACTGGCGAATCTTGTCCACAATCCGGTCGCCTTCTTCTTGGCGCCGCTTCGTGTGGCTCTTCATCGGCTTTGCAGCAAATGAGCCGCTCGTATTTCGTCCCGACTCTGCTGACTCGTCGGATGTTTCTGCTTCTTCCTCCGACTCGGATTGTCAGGTTGAGAAGTTGAAACCGCGTCCGCCGAAGCCGCCGGCACCGCCACCTCCGCGAGGGCGGCCACCACCATCGGCGAAGTTGAAGTGCGCACCACCACCTCCGCCGGGGAAGCCGCCTCCATTGAAGCCGCCACCTCCGCCGAAGCCACCGCCACCTCCCATCATGTTGAAGAGGATCTCGGGGTCGATGCCACCGTGCATGCCGCCCATACCTCCCATACCGCCCATGCCACCACCGTGGCTGAACATGTCAGAGGGGTCCATGAGGTCCTCACCGCTGTCATAGCTGGCACGCTTCCTGCAAACGGGGTTAGCAAATGTTGGACAACGTACACACGTTTCAACTTACTGAGAGTCACTCAGGGTCTCGTAGGCTTCTCCAATATCCTTGAAGCGCTCCGCAGCCTGCTCGTCGTTGGGGTTCTTGTCCGGGTGGTGAATGATGGCCAGCTTGCGGTAAGCCTTCTTGATCTGGTTGTCATCCGCGTCCTTCTCAACCCCAAGGATCTTGTAGTAGTCCTTGCGCTGGCTCTTCTTGAGCTCCAGCTCGGCCCGGCGCACCTCCTTGGCGATGCTACGGTCCTCAGGATCCGACTCCTGAATGTTCTTCCACTCCTTCACCGCATCCTCCCACTTGCCTGCCTGGCCGTATGCGTTGGCCTTGGTCTTGCGAGCCTTGAGGTATGTTGAGTCCAAGCTGATGGCGCGCTCGCAGTCAGCAATAGCCGCGTCGTACTCCCTGAGCTTGATCTTGCACAGCGCTCTGTTCTGCAGGATCTTGGAGTTGGTGCCCCTGTTGGCAGGATCGACCTCGAGCGCGGCGCTGTACTTCTCGATGGCGGACTGCCAGCGACCCATCTTGTAGTCCTGGTTACCCTCCTCCTTCATGCGGTCGAGCTTCTGAACGATTCTGAGGTACTTAACCGCATCCCGCATGTCAGGATCGCAGCTGATGGCCTTGCGGAAATGGCTGACAGCCTTGTCGTTCTCGCCCTGGGCGTAGAGGGCACGACCGCGGAGCACCAAGGCTTCAGGGTCCTGGCTGTTGCCTCTCAACAGACCCATGGCAAGGTTCTGCGCCTCGCCGAGAGCGTTGACGGTACCCATCTTGAGGTACGCCTCACCACGCATCAATTGCCACTTGCGAGGTCTGGAGGCTCCGAAGCCAAGCTGACGCTCGGCCTGGTCGAGGGCGTGGAGCACCATTGATCCAGCAGTGCCGTCTCTCAGGGCACTCTGCGCAGCATTGACGTGCTTCAACATCTCCTTGGCCGGAGCCTGGTCCTTGGCCGAAGGAGGAGGGTTGATGCGGCCGAAGACGAGCAGGGCCTCCTGGGGCTGACCGAGGCTGGTGTAGATGCGAGCAAGTCGGAGGAGGATCTTGGGGTTCTCGGGGTCCAGGTCGGAGGCACGGGTGCAGTCATCGAGGGCGTACTCGTACTGGGTGTTGGACATGTATGCAGCAGCGCGGTTGCTCAGATACGTAGCCGAATCGGGGACCAACTCGATGGCTGGAGTAGACTTGTCAATTTGTAGCCTAGACAGATTCGTAATCGGCAACACTTACCTTTGGAGTATTGGAGGATGGCATTCTTGTAGTCCTTCTCCTTGAAGAACTTGTTGCCAGCAGCCTTGTAGGCCTCGGCCTCGTCCTCAGTCGTGGGGACTGGACTGGAGGGGTTGGACTTGTGAGGGGGAGGGGCTGGAGCATCGCCGTTGCCGTTAACATTGGTGTTGATGCCGTTTGGCTTGGGGACGGAGAAGGAAGTCTGCGCAGAGGGTTGGGGTGCAGCAGCAGCGGCAGCGGCAGCAGCAGGAGGCGAAGAAGGCGCCGCGCTCGACTCACGGTCGATATCCATGGCGTTTCCACTCATGGCTGAGAGTGCAGAGAGTCTCTTTGCACGTTCTTCAGGAGGAAGATTGAGGGGGTGAGAATCGAGGTCGATTTTGCTGCTCCTTCGTGAGCCGGGATCGGTGGGGTGGCGGCCAAAGGTGCGGGAAGTGCGCGATGGCTTTGTCTCCCGAGGGCCTGGGGATGCAGGTTGGGAGGGTTTTTTGGTGGGGGATTTTGTCGGCGACTTGATGGGCGACCGGGGCTTTGTGGGCGACTTTGTGGGAGAAGAGGCCTCAGAGGAGGGGAAGTAGCTCGATTCTTGGTGGTTGTCGTCGTCGTCCTGGCCTTGCTTCTTGGACGATTTCTTTGCGAAGAGCTTCATTGATAAAGCGAGCGACCCTCTGAGGGGAACCAAAGAATGCGCAGGCTTATTTTTTTGTTGGCTAGTTAGGTAAGGAGGGTCGGTACACCTCGATGCAAGGTTATGCTTGTGCACCAGATTCCCCAAACCACAATAACGGGCCTAGTGAAGGAGGGCGGGCAGGCAAGAGTGCGGAAAAAAAAAAGCACCTGCTATTTTTTATTTTTTTTTGTTCTGGGCTGCTTGGGTGCGTCCAGTGCAAGGCAGCGGAACCTTGCCTTGACTCGGATGGATGAATACGGGAGAGGGCGGCTTGTGCGGAAGTTGATTGCAGATGGTCGTCCCAGTTTGTTCGTTCGTATCGAAGAATCCCAACGAATACAACGATGATGAGGAAGTGTGGTGTGAGTGAGCGAGAGAGTTGAAGTGTGAGTGAGAGTAAGGTAAGAGAGAAGAGGAAGACGGATTGGCTGCTCCCGGAAGGCAAGGTAAGGTGAGGGCGGATGAGGAGGGAAAAGAGGAAGGAAGCCCAGGCTATTGAGAAGAGGCTCGGCGAGAAGACACACAGCCCATCGGAGTGGGCACTGGAGGGGAGATACAGCCGGCGCAAGCTGCAGGGTGCTTTTCGAGTGAAGAAGCAGAGCAAAAAAAGTATCTGTTACTTTTGGGCAAAGCCGATGAATGGAGGAGGGGGAGGGAGGGGCGGGATCTGTGGAGAGAAAGCGAGAGAGAAAGATTCGAGAGGAAGAGGCAAGTAACGATGCAAGCAAAGCAGAAAGAAGAAGCTTTAGGAGCGGGATGCACAAAGTTGCTTTTCTGTTGTCATCTTTCGGTAATCCAAGGCAGGGGGACAAGCAAAGGCCAAAGGTGAAATACCGAAAATCCCAGGATTCATCAAGCGAGACGAGCCTTAGCTGTGGCTGTCTCTTCCACCCCCGGGGGGAGGGACTCGTGTAGATTTATCAGCTGTGCACAATTTTTTCCTTCCCACCTACCCTTCCTCATCTCGTTGCTTTTTCCCGCCTGCCAGGTCTGTTGACTGGTCTGTTGACTGGTCTGTCTATCCGTCTACGGAGTGCTGTTCAGTGCCTTACGGATTACGGGGGAGACGGAGACTGGACAAAGTCACCACCGTATGCCCATGTGCTGGGCTGGCCATGCGTGATGTGGAAAATGTGCTAGCTAGGTAGCTGTCCATACACAGCTTGCCATGCAAAAAGATGTACATTGTGCGGATTATTGTACGAAACTTTTGCCCACAAGCTACCCGGCAGGCTCAGGAGATATCCTCCCCCCTGGACCAATGCAGAAGCAGGGCCGCTGCGACCGCAGAAAAACACAAACGTGGATGTACAATAACGGCTCTACTGGGCAACTGGCACATGGCAGCTGCCATTGGGGAGAGGCCATCACCAACGGCAGCCAACCTAACTCGGTATCGAGTACATGCAGAACTTCGTGTCACTTGCGTGTGCTGAGCTCTGCATGCGAGGTAGATGTAACCAAGCACCACCCGGCACCTACATACCTAATACTTCACCTTACCTTAGGTACCTTACCTCAAGCACCAAGACCAAAAAAAAAAAAAAAACAAGAGTCGCCCGCCACTAAACCCAACCCCACAAGAAGCTTGTCCAAACGGCCCAGTCCCGTCTCCCGTTGACTACTGGCAGTCCCGCGGAGCCAATGGTACGCTTGGGGACCGCAACTTGTTTACCGTGATACCTGCACAGTAGTGGATGAAGGGGATCGTCGGACGACCGCCACTGGACCGTTGTTGAAATGTTGACCTGGTGTCCTGTCGTCTCCTAGCCACCCTATTTCTTGTTGTCTTTTTTCTGGTGGCCAATGGCCAATGGTATACCAGGCGCAAGAACTCTCGCGGAGCTTGCCAAGGGGACCAGGTTGAAGGTCGTCTGGGTATCCGTATCATGTATCCGTATGTCTGTACTCCGTACGGAGTCCGTACGAATATGGGACATGGGCTTCCCACTGACTACGCAGTAGAAAATAGAAATAGACTAGGATGATGGCTAGACTTTGGTTTCGCGAGAGAGG